TATCTCGTCCCACCTTAGTGTCGGTCCCAACACCAATACCTTCGTTTCTGGCTTGCCAAACCAACGCACAACTGAATTCTTCACCGCTCTCTACGACACCTCTCAGGAAGCTCACGCAACCTCTGCCTTCTATGAATACCATCGTTCCAACCCCAACGCGGCTGCAGCACTCCTCGGAGATCTGGTGGGCGGGACCAGGAAAGAAGGAAAGCTGATGCGGTTCCTTTTGGTCAGCCGGGGCAGAGACGACTGGGATGCTGCGATGGATTTGCTGGATCGGATGCTTCGTCGGGAGCTTGGTATGCGTCCGCGACCCCCCGGGCACGTACTCCCTGCGTATCCGTTCCTGATTGTAGCGTATCTCTTTGTTTTGTTTATTTTGAAGGGCCTTTTGGCGTCGTGGAGAATCCTGGTTTCTGGTTGACCTTGTGGTGGACGTACGCATGGTAAGAAACACGGTTTCAGTACCTGTCTTTTTCGTTCCTTTATTTGTATCCTCGAATAATTAGCAAAAGCTGGTTCGGCTTACTGGCGTTTAAACGAGGTCAGAATGTCGGGGACGAGGCGAGCGCTAACGGCGAGCACGAGGATTCCGGACGGGCCGAGGGAAATAATCGCAAGGCACCTGTGGGACACCTGAGGCCTGAGCCCCGATAGAAGAGCAGATGGAGTTCGTCCGCAAGTATCTCGTTCGCGTGCAAGACGGCTCACTAGCTTGCAAGCTGCTGTCGCGTCTGAGCTCCTTCTGGTTCACGAAGTCGCTCTCAATGTCCGAAAGATGTTACTACGTTCTCAGTGCGCAAGTTTTCTTCACCACCTAGAAGAAACGGGCACAGAGACTGTTGCCTCTGGCCACCTTTCTTTCGAAAAGGTGAAAAAGAGACCAATTCATGGCAGATTACGTGTCCCAAGTCTCGTCGTGGAGACGTCTGAGTTCCAGACCCAGATCATGCACGACCACGACTGCCTCTCTCGCTTATGTAGCGACCATCGCAAGCGCCAGGACGAATTGAATTATTCTGCCTCCCTCTCTGTGTTGGTCGGTCTCAAGAACAGTTCGCCAGTGCCGGCGCAGGAAGGCTCGCCTGTTAATGCCGGCGTTTGCGGGTGGATGAATCTCTCCCACTCAAGGACTAAGCTGAGGAGATGGAAAGCGCAGTTCCTGAACGCCAGGCCGAGTTCGAACGGCTTCTCGACAGAGGGTAGAGCACCAGAGACGTGGTGTTGAGGTCGATGTCCGGCGGGTGCATGCAATCAGTCGTACCGCCTATTGAAGGCGGCACAAGACCGTCTTGAATGAGCAGCTGCCTCGGTGGTTGCCAGGAGCGGAATCTCATTGGCGTGTAGAGCCGTTTTGACCAAGGTGTTGTCTGTCCGGGGAGCTGGAGGTTGGGCGAAGTTGTGAAAAAGGCGAGGTCGGAGTAGAACTTGAAGCGCAGCTCTTCCACGAGGATTGGTGCACCCGGGTCAGATTGCGTACGCCGAAGTAGGGGCCAGTGTGGCCTGAAATGTCGTATACTTGCTAGTCTGAGAAGGGTATCCTGGTGGGGTCCAGGGTAATGATTTTGTACCTTTGCAGTTTCTGCACCTTCTTTTGCGAGTTGTCTACTGCCTATTAGTGGTCTGATCATGAATGAAGGTGAATTGGGGACTAACGCATCGCATTTACTTCGTCGAGTGACCCATCCTGTTCCAACAAGTTCCAACAAGCCGACGACGCATGGCCGTTTTTCAAAGCTCGTCAACGTTGTATAACCTCGGTAGGCTGGAACAACGAGGGGATGGACTCAGAAACGGAATTCTGGCCTCGCGTGTAGAATTGCCGTTTAAGGGAGATGCGAGTCGCACGGCTATTTTCCTCGTAGACATCCTTGGGTTTCTTACACCGTCGGTACAATCTCGGATGTACGTGTACTGGCTTGGGTCGACCGTGAGAGCAATGATGGTGAGTGCTTCGTTTGATTTCCTGGTCCATGCTGCAAGCGCGTCTCCTGCTGGTTGCCGTCTGCAATTACTTCCCAACAATCTTCGAGGCGCAATGCCATGCTGATGTCGGCAACTTCCAGCCTTACTAGAGAACTTTCTCTGTCCGAAGGCATTTCTACGCGTTGAAGTTAGTCCAACTGACACGAGGAACTGTAGAGAATATGCGGAGTGAGTTCATAAACCGTTCCCTCCGCCTTCCTAACACCAAGCCTGGATAGCTTCGGAGCGACCATCCTCTCATCCTGCACCCTGAACTTCCAAACACGCGTTTTTTCTGCCCTTCCAGCCAACCTTACAGCCGCCTTCAAGAACCTATGCAGATCTTTGCTCGCCCCGCCAGCCGACGACGAAGATGGCCTGCTGCGTCAGTGGGACTCGTCGATTCACGCAACAACATGGCGGAATTTCGACTTTTTGGGAATGATGGATCGGTACGAGAGCGTCATCGCAAGTGTCGGTTATGAGTACATCGAGCAACATGTGCTAGATACCTTCACGGGAGAGTGGTCGAAGCCAATGTTGGAAGACTTACGGACCTGGATGTCGGACAAGGTTGTACCGTGGAGTGGTGCGTCTTTCTGGACTCGGGCTGATGTATCACTGCCCACTCCTCTCCTTATAGCCGACGAAGCAAGAACGATGCTTCAAGGTGTTGGTTCCCGTTTTGACTTCCATATCAACAAGACTTTGTGTGAATTACGGTTGGTGTCTTCATCGTCTGCTGACTCTTCATCATTGAACATTTTTTCTGCAGGACAAGAGAGATCTTTACTATTATAATCGACTACCCCGATTTCGAGATCCTAATGACGACGATCTTCACCCTGTCTTCCTATCTTACTACTCGATGGAAGTCCTGGTGCACTAGACGTCAGGTGATCATGAAGCGTACGAATGTTACGGTTGTGGAAGAAGAGAATTGTCTCATTCATGCGTCTCATGCATTCAACTAGTACTCAGGAGGCCACTGATCCAATTAATTGGTTGACTGTAGACGGTACTTGAACAGGAGCTACGTAGTTTCCTCAATCATGTCAAGGACCATACGCGCAGTTAGTCTCTCCGAATCCTCACATATTTTCCGCCCAAGTGCCTTCAGGTCCATCGAAATATCGCCCGTCAGGCAGCTCGTAATCAAATGCCCGACACCCCAGATATCAACTTCCGCCCCATGTCCATCATGCTTAATAGCTGGTGAATGGCTCTCAGGAGTAAAATCTTCTTGCGCGAGAGTAGGTGGGTAAGCAGCATCTTCCCAGTCTATGATGAACCATTTCGACTGATCTTCGACCGCACGGACGATATTACTCCACCGAATATCGCGATGAAACAAAGGTATTTGATGTGTCACCTGAACCGACTCAGTTTATAGCATAATAATAATAATAATAAAAAGACAACTCACAATGAGCGCCTCCAAAACACATTTGAGGCACTTCCGCAGTTCACCCTCTCCTCCTGGCTCCGTAGCAATTCCGCGTGGGCCCAAATGTACAGTATTCCCTCTGGCGAAGATAAGTTGGTCTACATTTGGGACCTGCTTTTCTCGTAGCTTGTTATAAGTGGACTGGAGGCGCTGGACTCGCGATTCTGCATCTGGAGATGTATACACTTTAACGACGAGCGTCGTTGTTATTTCGACCGTACAATGTCTCCTAGAGGCGTAGCATGTCAATTTTGCAACATTCGTGTAGAATATTGGAGGTTGTACCGTTCCATGGGTTCATATTCACTACCGGCTGAGCTGATCATATCGGCTAATGGTTTAAGGAGGCTTGCAAGGTTGATGAGATGTCGTATATTGTCGATGCGTCCCTTGGTTAAGCTCAGGTCAACCGTCACCAAGTCGTGAACAACGGGGATTCCCGATTTTCCAACAGGTGGTGGTGTAATCGCGACAAGGGTCATAACAGATGCATTACAATAGTAACCTCCAGAATGAATTAGAGAACCGAACGCTCGAAAGTCGTAGAACATACCCAGTACATAAGGGGCAGGTGAATAGACCCACTTTGGCAGCTTGTTGCGGAGTTCTTCCTTGGGGTCCTCCTTGTTGTTTGGGCCCTTCTCCTCGCCTCGGAAGACACACTTATCCGATATGAGGTGACCGAAATCGGGTCGAAGATTTCGAGTCTCCGTGTGTTGATTACTGTTGCGTATGCTTGTGCCATATGGAATCAGGGTCTCGATGACTGAACGAATATTTGCATCCCAGAAACCGATAAAGGCATTCTCGGTACCGCCGCGAGGTGGCGGTCTCAAAACAGCGGTGACGAGACCATGGGTATTTAAATCCTTCGCATCGCCCGCCCCATCGCACGGCTGGAATAGGGACTGAACATCCTCCTCCATACACAAGTCATGCGGGCGATGCGAAATGAGGCTGCGATATACGTCAGCGTTAAGCTGGATCTTTTCCTCGACAGCAAGAGGCTGTTTGATGAATCCCAAGAGGTTCTCAAGTCGAGGGATTTCAATTTTAGCACGCTTGGTCCTCCATATGTCAGTGACTTTGCGATTAAATTCGTGTTCGCTGGAGGGAGAAAGCGCACGCTTTGCTGGTACGGAATGCTCATGCCGGACTGAAGACGTGAAAATGTCAAGGAGGGGATGGGCATCAGGGAGAGAGTGCTCACGCTTGCGATCGGAGACCAAGATATGAACTAGGCCTTGAGATGGCGGACTCCGGAAGAGCTTGCCAATTTCCTTCAGGAGATGGAGTTGGTCGTTCAGATGATCGAGGATCCATCGGTGTGCACGGTCATCCAGGTCTCCATAGGGCTCCGATGGGAGATCCGCCTGCTAAGAGTTAGTTGGATTGTTGTGACAGAGCAAGGAGGCCTACCTTGTAGAGGGAGAGGTCGCACTCGGCCACATCGAAGTCGGGGTCCCACTCTTTGAGCTTCTCGTGGATTTTCTCCAACAGCTCTGTGACGAGTGCATCTTTACCGATAGGAATAACCATGGAATGAGGCTTTTCAGCCGAATAGAAACAAATTAGTTTGAGCTGCTCCATCTTTCGGCGAGGAGAGCGGTCGTGGTTGTGGAAAGACGTGGAATAATGTTGGTGGCACACTATCCAAAGTCCGACAATAGAACTTTATGTAAGCAAACCTCGAGAATACCGTTTGGCTAAGCTTGTCCGATTTGGAGCCTTTTGTACTTTTCAATCTCTTCGTTTCTCAAGCTGCTTCAACAGACCAATTATAGAGAACAACCGAAGAGTACGAGCTCAGCGGGACGCCGGACGAGGAATGCGGCGACGGGACAGCAAGTGTTATGATCCTCGGTCCGCATTTTATCTCCTTTCTCTCCTCTTTCTTTGGTACCTCATCAGACTCGCAACAACTAAACGCCGATCTTCTCAGTGCCCCAGGAATTTATGCAGGATATGGAATAAATCGGTCTGTTTTGACGTGTCAACGACGACGAGGGCCTACATCGGCTCGGCGTGGCTTGGGCAGGGGGTCTGTCCTCATGTTGACGCTTTAATAGCTGTTGGACTATGAGATGGGGTTAGACAATGCGGCGGCAGGGAGGGTTTGCGATGCTAGAACTGTATCCGAAATGAAAAAATCAGACTGAGCGGGAGTGGCTGGTAAGTCTGTTCCTTCATCTTCTGTCACCTTCACCATTGAACTCTTCTCTCATTTGGCCAATCTAGTTTCTCCCCTGTTGTCTTCCTCTTCCGTGGATGCGTGGTGTAGCCTTTATCAGCGCCAATCAGAGGCGAGGTACGACGACTCTCAACACCACCCAGTTGTTTATTTCTCGCCAGAGATCCGGCTTCTGTTCTCGAGTCCGTGAGACCTACGCCCCCATTTCGCAAGTACTACGTGCTGATTCAACTTTGTTCTCGTTGGCAGATACGAAGTTCAGGAGTGCGGCCGCACCGGAAAACCAAACCCCGTCCGTGAAGGAGGATGATGGAGTGCTGGTTGTGAGGGAGAAGGCAAGGCGCGAGACGGGGCCGGCGAGGAAGCATGCTGCATCAGGAATAGAATAATAGCTCGTGAGTTTTTCGACATATTTTTTTCTGGCGATCGTTGGGCTGATAATGTTACCTTCAGCAATGTATCTAGTGTTAAATGCCATTTCCTTCTAGAACCGTGTTCGTGTCCGGGGAAGTTCCACAAACCAAATCTCAGACGTCCGGCCCACGTATGATGTCTGCCGGCCAGCTCATCAGGCAAACAATGTTTGATCCTCAACCCGTCGTCGCCGGCTCTCCTCCAACACCTGCGTGAGACTCGAGCCTTGAATTGCAAATTAACACCGCCCAGTCCTAATTCGCCGACTCAACCTCAATACCAAGCACATTTCACCATCTGAATCCTGGTTTGCACTAGACGACGTCCCTCAGTGCCGCGAAACGTGCTCCCGACGTGGTTCTCTACCGATCTTTTCTAGAATTCAGCAAGAGAGCTTCGTTGTGATTCAAGATTGGTCTTTTAGGTCATAGTGTTCATCGGCTTGCCTCCGGTATCGAACGAGGTCAGGAACACTTCACGGCCAGACCTCGGGCCCCTATATTCGACCGCGATTGGACGGCCCCGTGCGGATCGCGTACACAAGGCTAGACGGATGTTCGGCCCCATTTCCACCCAACACGAAAGGCGTGTTTTATTACTGCTCGCCATCGCCCGGAGACCCCGTTCTGAGCGGTCATCTCCGCTTCCGCCTCTGTTCCAATGCAGCGTCCTTCCATGAAGGCTCCGACCTGCTCACGCCGAACGGTGTCGAGGCCTGGAACACATCCCTCTACGACCTCGTAAAACTCAATCCAAAGGAGCGGGAGATTCTGGTCGACCTGCTCATCCAAGACGGTCTCGTTGACCGACAGGTTATAGACCAGATCGTCAAGTTGCCTTCCCTCCACAAACTGATCTCCCACCGGCTGTACGCCCTAGATTGGCCGTTTGTCGCCGATCTGTCTTCAAGGTCCCTCCGACTCAGACTCATAAACCTCTCCATGTTCGAATTAGTCGCTGTACCCGACGTATTTCGGACGAAGCAGGCACGAGCACCCATCGTGACTCCTTATGCGGGTAGGTCATATCTCTCTCTTACATCTTTCGCCTCGTGGTGACATGCTTGACATTTGGGCGAGCAGGTTTAGTGAGGGCACGTTTCGAACTCTCGCCGCTCCCTGAGCACGCCGGCTCGCCATCTCCAGTTCTCGTCTTGAGAATTCTAGAGCTACTCGAACCTGTGCGCCGCCGTATCACTAATGCCGAGCAGAGGATGCCGCTGCCTCAGGCTGGGTCGCTGTTGTACAAGATCGATCCATTCAGCGGTCAACCGAAGTTGTGGACGTATGCTCTCGACCGATGGGCGGATGGGGACACTTTCAAGCGCTTCATTTCAACGTGTGAGGGTCCGTAGGAGATTTCGGACCTCTGATATACCTCCTGCTCGATTATCCAAGGAGTACCCGTCCGGAGGGCCACTTCATCACGACACCCCACTGTGTCCATCCAGCAATACAACACCTTGCCTGCGACGCCGTGCGGACGAACCCCCCACTAGCAAGGTCTCGATACTCGAGGCCACCTCTGCCTCTTGATATCAGTCAGAGCTGGATAGCGGGTCCTTCAGAACCCCACAACGATCTGTGGGTGGATTCCAGGATGACGATTCTATGGTATATTTGACTCAATGGGAGGTTGGTAGACCACTCTGGTTCCTTCTTCACCTCTTCCATCTTGTTCTTGTTAAGATATGAATGTCTCCTGCAGATTACAGGATCTCTGAATTGCAATGATAGGTAGGACGCTGGTGGTGATTGACGTATGACCGTCCCATAGACAATTGTATCGACGTGCTGTTCCAGATTAAGGACCGCTATTCACGACCGCTATGAAGGACCAGTCGCGCTCCTGTGTCACTTTCGTCCTTTTTTGGGCCCTTCAACTCTTCTCTTTTGCTCACACGTGTATCTTTTGCGGACCATGTTGCTTTTTTCCAAAGATGAACGTGCGGAGCTCGTGCGGTAGTTCCTCTCCCGGTCCGAACAGAATTGTAAGAGATGGAACGGGGGAAACGAGTCGAGGATGGGTCGAGCAAGGCCAGAAGGATAGCAGGTGCATATCTCATCCTTCGCTACTCGGTTCTAAATTTCCCATCATTCAGCACTGTTATCATCTACGTTGATACCCGCGAGTTCTTTTCTTAATGGACGTGTACGAACTACTCGAAGATGGTGGCAATACGTCCCTCCTCCCGACCTCAATGATGATTTAAGTTCCCAACGTCACTGTCTGATGTCTAGACGACGTCTCCTGTATTCTACGGCATCGTTATCTCGAAGGTATTGTCACATGTCTTCTCTGCTTTCATCAACGCTCAATGGCTTGTAACGACTTGCCCCCAGTGCTTTGTACCAAGAAAGGATGATCAATGCAGTTGGCGCGTTCCTCGGCCATCCGCGCCAACGAACCTCAGTTTCTCGCCATACGTACAGCGCCTGCTCGCATTCTGCGAGGTGCTTATTCCAACATCGCGAGGACTGCATGTTGAATGAGGTTCGTTCTCGTTGGCGGCTATGAACTTCGCGATCGCCAAGGATCGCCATCCCGTTCGATAATCGAGTGGACAGAGCGCCACATCCACACTCTCCGCTTGTCCATATCCATTCCTGAGGCATGCATCGACAGGCGTTTCGAGACTGGAGAAGGGCGAGGATACCAAGGTGTCAACTTCATCACCCCATTCTATACGAAGCATTGTCCTGGATGGAAGTAGGGTGAGCAAATGACAAGTGCCTAGGTGGAGCGGGATGGAGCGCTAGTTCTGAGAACTGGTACTGAAGGCGGATCAGAGGTGGGAGGTGACGAGGAAGCCCCGAATAGTAGGACAGGAGTATAAGCTACCTGGTGTGTATCCTGCTCGTTCTCGTTCTTTCATCTTGTTTCTAACAACCTCTTTCATGTAGTATCTACCCTATATGTATCGTTTTATCTTGATACGCCGCGCTGGTCTCACGGAAAGCACCCCTACTAATGTCGACGCTAATACGTTCAGTTCCAGTAGCATGGGGAAGAATTCGCTCAACGTAAAACCCTGCTAGTCGTCAAAGCCTTGTCGTACGTCGCGTTACACTGCTCTCCCCCTTCCGCGAACCTGTCGCCAGCACATCTTCGTTTATCTTTTATCTTTGGAGTATCCGACTTTTGGAGTATCAAAGCATCATTACATGCACTGCGGGGTCCATTTTGCTTATCTGAATGTCCCCTCAAGATGGAATCACAGAGAATGTTTTTGAGCGATGTTCTGTAGGTGCGCCATCCTCTCGCACCAGCTTTTGACTCTTTTTCGTCGTCTGACTTATTCTGTAGGCGAAAAGCCGGCCCCACTGGTGCCCAACCAGGGCGAACTACAGATACTACTACGGGTTTGGGTCGACGATGCGCCGGAAAGCATCGTAGCACGTTAACGAAGTGGGAGGGGCCCGTGCCCGAGGCCTTCAGCTCATCGAGCTACCTTCGACTGCCGTTGATGAAGTCTGGGTCGAGGCGAATATGGGTACGTGCCATTCAAATGTTTGATACTCTCTCTCGCTGTCTGATCATGTTTTCAAGCCCTCCTCCGAGACCACGATGATGCATCTCGCATCCGCTTCATCTCGGGTAATATTCGACTAGTGGGAAACCCCGAGATGGAGATCTACCTAACTTGTCACACAGGTGAATTCTTCCTTTCGATGCCTTCCAGGGCGCTTCTTCAGAGTGCTTGTTTTCATCTGCACCGACGCGAGTGTTCAATCGACAAACCATGTGGACGAATAGGAGGCGGCTGCATCGACGACCTCTTCCTCTGTTTGCCTGAGCTACGTTGCGTGCTTGGCATCCGGGAAGAACGATGATGATGGTTGGAAAGGGTTCAAACGGTAAGTACCATTATTCACGCTGTTTGATAGCATTCTCTGACAACCTTCTTCGAATCACGAAGACTAGAAGTTATGGAGGAATACATATGGTATACATTGTCGAAACACCGAAAGCACGAACACGACTTGGTAAGAAAGCAAAACATGGACAGCAGTGGAGAGAACAAGAACAACAAAGCGAACAAATAAGATATCCACTACTCAAAGCAAACCCTCCGATACCAACCTAGCCTGATACGCCAATACGGCGTCGAGTCGCTCCTCTTGTCCAGGCTTGGATCCTGCCTTGATTTCAGCGGCGATGTAGCTCTTGACATGCCGTTTAAAGCCGTCGTGTCTGTCGCACATCTCCTTGTTTTTCTTGCATGGACATCTGAAAACGGACTGGCTGCAGCGCACCTTTGGACAGTGGGGTTCAGCTGATGTGAGATGGCGCTCTATCTCCTTCCGCGTCTTTGCGTAAACCGGGGGATTGATGCACGTCTTGCATCGGAATCCTCCCGAAGCCAGTTTCTTGCATCCAAGATTGGTCTCGTCTCCTTCCTCGTCCTCCTCTTCCGCCTCGTTGACATCATTCTCAGAGGGATTTTCATAGTCGTAGTTGGCTTCCTCACCGTCGCCTTCGCCGTCAGGCGCGAAAGAGGAGGAAGGGACGGCTGGCTGCACGGTCTCGGTGGGAAGGGACGTGTCCGCGTTGGGGGCGATGAACGGGGTCGTCAATGGAGACACTGTGGCAAGGGAGGTAGTGACTCGTTCGGCCGTCGCTCGCCCCCTCTTACGAGGGCGCTCTGGTGAAGGCGAAGGTGACCTAGCACGAGGAACCGCCACCTTGTTCCTGGGATCCGGCATGTCCTCCGAGGCACGACGGCGTTGGGTATCAGTGCGCGGGGTGTCAAATGGGTAAAAGCACGGCGATGGGCTGGGGGTGCGCCATTTGCGTTTCTTAGGAGGTTGCGGGCTCTTCTGTGCTCCTCCCTGGACGTCGACAGATGCTGGAGAGTACAAAAATGGGTGCGACTCTTGCTGACTTGCGTTGCCCCAAGCATCCGAGATAGGGAAGAGCTCCCATGTGGGGGAGGGATTGTCGAAGTTGAAGGGAGCGGGAATGG